GGGCCTTCGGTGGAGCTCCCTGTGGAGCCACGAAACGTGTGAAGGCTGTGCCGAAATGGGTGCGGGACGCATGTGGACGCAGCCACTGGGGCCTTCGGTGGAGCTCCCTGTGGAGCCACGAAACGTGTGAGGGCTGTGCCGAAATGGGCGAGGGACTCATGTGGACGCAGCCACTGGGGCCTTCGGTGGAGCTCACCGCGGGGCCACGAACTGTGCGATGGGTGCGCCGAAATGGGTGCGGGACGCATGTGGACGCAGCCACTGGGGCCTTCGGTGGAGCTCCCTGTGGGGCCACGAAGCGTGTGAGCGCTGTGCCGAAATGAGCGCGGGACGCATGTGAACGCAGCCACTGGGGCCTTCGGTGGAGCTCCCTATGGAGCCACGAAACGTGTGAGGGCTATGCCGAAGTGAGCGCGGAACGCATGTGGATGCAGACACTGGAGCCTTCGACGGAGATCCCGATGGGGCCACGAAACGTGTAAGCGTTGTGCCGAAATGGGCGCGGGACGCATGTGAACGCAGCCGCTGGAGCCTTTGGTGGCCTCCTATGGGACAAGGAAACGTGTGAGGGGTGTGCCGAAATGGGCGCGGGACTCATGTGGACGCAGCCACTGGGGCCTTCGGTGGAGCTCCCTGTGGGGCCACGAAACGTGTGACGGCTGTGCCGAAATGGGCGCGGGACGCATGTGAACGCAGCCACTGGAGCCTTCGGTGGAGCTGCCCATGGGGACACGAAACGTGTGAGGGCTGTGCCGAAATGGGCGCGGGACGCATGTGGACGCAGCCACGGGGGCCTTCGGTGGAGCTCCCTATGGAGCCACGAAACGTGTGAGGGCTGTGCCGAAATGGGTGATGATGATGATGATGATGATGATGATGATGATGATGATGATGATGATGATGATGATGATGATGATGATGACGACGACGAAGACACGCGGAGTGCAGAGGCAGGGACGGAAGAGGAAGGACAGAGGAGGGTGAGGAGGAAGGAGTGAGGGAAACGCGGGACGATGTCTCTTCAAAACGCGGACCCAGCACCACAGGACGGTTAGGGAATACAAGAAAACCTATAGGTATTGCATGATTGTGCCTCGCCCGGGGTCGCCCGGACGCATCTTGTTGCCGAAAATCTGGCTCGTCAAGGCAATTTGCAAACATGTAGACTTTGTTGCCGATTTTGGGCACTTGCGGCATCAATTTTGAACGATTCTGGGCACAACTGGAACCCACAAAACGGAACCAAAACCGGACCCGAACCAGCCGGGTTTTCGATGGCAGTCGAACAGGGTCACAGCCCAACACGGACGTGCTGTCGCTTGGGCCATCCAGAGGACCAGAAATCCGACGTCGTGATTTTTTCAACACGGGGTCCCCTGAAGGGTCGACCCAGTCTTCAGGACCGGTTTTTTATCCTGACTCGTTTTTTCCCAACCATCCTGTGGTGTTGGGTCCTCGTTTTGAAGAGACGGTGGCCCGCGTCTCCTCCTCTCCTCCTTCCCCCCCTCCTCCTGCCACACCCAATTCGGCACACCCCTCACACGTTTCGTGGCCCCATAGGGAGCTCCACCGAAGGCCCCAGTGCTGCCGCCCGCATGCGTCACGCACACCCAATTCGGCACACCCCTCACACGTTTCGTGGCCCCATAGGGAGCTCCCACCGAAGGCCCCAGTGCTGCCGCCCGCATGCGTCCCGCACACCCAATTCGGCACACCCCTCACACGTTTCGTGGCCCCATAGGGAGCCCCACCGAAGGCCCCAGTGCTGCCGCCCGCATGCGTCCCGCACACCCAATTCGGCACACCCCTCACACGTTTCGTGGCCCCATAGGGAGCCCCACCGAAGGCCCCAGTGCTGCCGCCCGCATGCGTCCCGCACACCCAATTCGGCACACCCCTCACACGTTTCGTGGCCCCCCCATATGCGGCACACTTCGGCACACCCTCACATAGGTGAAGGTGCACATGGGCCCGCATGCATGCGTCCGCACACCCAATTCGGCACACCCCTCACACGTTCCGTGGCCCCATAGGAGCCCCACCGAAGGCCCCAGTGCTGCCGCCCGCATGCGTCCCGCACACCCAATTCGGCACACCCCTCACACGTTTCGTGGCCCCACCGAAGGCCCCATTGCTGCCGCCCGCATGCGTCACCGCAGAATCCGGCACACCCCTCACACGTTTCGTGGCCCCATAGGGAGCCCCACCGAAGGCCCCAGTGCTGCCGCCCGCATGCGTCCCGCACACCCAATTCGGCACACCCCTCACACGTTTCGTGGCCCCATAGGGAGCCCCACCGAAGGCCCCAGTGCTGCCGCCCGCATGCGTCCCGCACACCCAATTCGGCACACCCTTACACGTTTCGTGGCCCCACAAGGCCCCTGCCGCCCGCATGCACGTTCGGCACACCCTCACACGTTTCGTGGCCCCATAGGGGGCCCCACCGAAGGCCCCAGTGCTGCCGCCCGCATGCGTCCCGCACACCCAATTCGGCACACCC